TCTACCAGGTAGAAGGTGCTGGCATGTCCAACCCACGTCTCCCAAGTCACCACTGTCCAGCTGAGGGGTCAGGGCCTCGACGTCACAGAGTGGGCCACAGGTGCACACAGAAAATGTGTGCTGGCTCCAGTCCTGGGCACACAGGCAGCTGGGTGGGTCCTGCTGGGCTGGGGTGGGGGTGGGGTCACCTCAGCCATGACTCTGGCCACAGCCTTCCACACTGACATCCTCTCCGAGGACAGGGCAGCCACATCCAGGGCAGGCAGAACACGTAAGAACCAGCTGATGTTGGGAGGAGACGTGCCAAGGGCCAGGCTTGTCCCCCGGCACTTGTGGATGGACACGGTGTGGTTACCGAGCAGCATGTGCCACTGGCCTCCGTGGGTTTTTCCTGGCCCACCGACCATCTGTGCACAGTGGGAGGCTGGCATCACAGGCACAGGTAACCCACTGGGTCCTCTTTCTGCAGGAGCCTGCGACAAGGCCCCTGACTTCCTGTCCCCGTCTGGAAACCAGGTGCTGGGGCCTGCCCTGGGCAGCGTGGTCACACTGAATTGCACAGCCTTGGTGGTCTCAGGACCCCACTGCCCCCTGCCCTCAGTACAGTGGCTGAAAGATGGGCTACTGCTGAGCAATGGAAGCCTCTATGACCTCCATGAGGACTCCTGGTAAGAGATGAGGTGTCCAGGGTCAGGGGACATGCTGGATATACCCACAGCCAGTGGCCTCTCTGACCTACACTCTGGTCTATAATCACCTGGACATGGGCTGGGGAGCGACTGGCCAGACACGACACGGGCAGAGTGACACTCTGCATGCACACTAAGTCAGTGACTACAGGGACAGATGGCCCCTCTAGACACTCACCTTGTAGACCACCCAGGGCCATGAGTGCCAGCAGAGTGCTATGGCCTGAATTTACTCATTGACTGCTGGGCCAAGCCTGGGATCTGAGTAACTCCAGGACCCGGACCCAGGATCAGGGTGACTGTCCCAAAAGAGATCCATATCCTCTTCATGTTCTGGCTGTTTCTCTTAGCTTACAGTCTAAGGACTGCCAGAAAGCCCAAATCTGCAACCTCTTTGGGTGAATCCCAGTCAGCTGGGGCTCCGGGGCATCCAGTGATGCTCTTGGGCCCCAGGTGAGGGGGCAGGGCCTGGTCTCCCCAGGGTCAAGGCCAACTGGTCAGAGGTGCTTGTGTCCAGTGTCCTGGGAATCAACCTGACCAGAGCCGAGGACTTCGGGACCTTCACCTGCTCCATCCAGAACGTCACCTCCTCTTCCTTCACTCTTTGGAGAGCTGGTGAGGGGGTGCACTGGGTACAAGGCAGAAGGGAGCCCTGGGGAGACTTTGGCTTGGAGGGTGCTGGGGTGGCTCAGGCAGCAGCTCTGTCCCCAGGCCTGGCTGGACATGTGGCCGCGGTGCTGGCCTCACTCTTGGTCCTGTTGGCCCTGCTCCTGATGGCGCTGCTGTACGTGAAGTGTCGGCTCAATGTGCTGCTCTGGTACCAAGACAAGTATGGGGAGGTGGAGATGAACGGTGCGTGGGGCCCGGACGTGGGGGAAGGGGGCCTCCCTAGGCTCAGCTCTGCAGGTGGGGGTGAGGAGGCATCTGTCCCTGGAGGGCTCTGGCGAGTGCTCAGTACAGGAAGAGGGGTGTCCCTGTGCAGCCCAGGACGGCACGGGGCGGGCCGAAGTGGGTCACGGTACCCTGGTTCCAGGCCTCCACCTGGAATCCTGTGCCGAGGACGAATCCAGGCGATGCTTGAGCCGGGATCTGCTGAGTCTCGTCTGGGGGGCTTGCCTGGCTTTCCTGGCACCGGGGGGTGGGGGGGGGGAGGTTTAGGGGACCCTGAATGTGGCTGGTGCAGGCCAGGAAAGCGGCCGCGCTGACCCGCCGCCGTCCGCAGACGGGAAGCTCTACGACGCCTACATCTCCTACAGTGACAGCCCTGAGGACCGGAAGTTCGTGAACTTCATCCTGAAGCCGCAGCTGGAGCGGCATCGTGGCTACAAGCTCTTTCTGGACGACCGCGACCTCCTGCCGCGTGCGGGTACCGACGCCCCGCCCCTTTCCACTTGGGCCCCGCCCCCGCTGGGTCACAGATCCCGCCTTCCAAGGCCCCCTCCCCTCCCAAGGCCCCGCCCCGTCGCGTCCTCCGCCCCTCCCAGGGCCCCGCCCTTACAGGGCCCAGTCTGTGCTACCCCCGCTGATGCCCGGGTCCCGCAGAGCCGTCGGCAGACCTCCTGGTGAACCTGAGCCGCTGCCGGCGACTTGTGGTGGTGTTGTCGGATGCCTTCCTGGGCCGGGCCTGGTGCAGTCACAGCTTCCGGTGGGTCCCGCGCTGGGCTGGGTGGGCCTCAGCCGCGCCCGCTCTGACAGTGCCGCCCTCGCAGGGAGGGCCTGTGCCGGCTGCTGGAGCTCACGCGCAGACCCATCTTCATCACCTTCGAGGGCCAGCGGCGCGACCCCGCGCACCCTGCGCTGCGCTTGCTGCGCCAGCACCGCCACCTGGTGACCCTGCTGCTCTGGAAGCCCGGCTCTGTGGTGCGGAGGGGCAGGGGGGAACGGGGTGCTGTGGATGGGACTCCGTGAGTGGAGGCTCCGTGGTCAGCTGCCCAGAGGAGTGGGCTTTTTGGGGCCGAGGAGGCCAGGGTCTTTATATGTTGGCTTCACTCCCCCAAACCCCATTCACGTGTTCACACACGTTAACTGCCCACCTTGCTTCCAGACGCCTTCCTCCGATTTTTGGAAAGAGCTACGGTTGGCGCTGCCACGGAAGGTGCAGTACAGATCGATGGAGGGAGACCCCCAGACCCGGCTGCAGGACGACAAGGACCCCATGCTGATTGTGCGAGGCCGGCTCCCAGAGGGTCGGACCTTGGACCCTGAGCTGGACCCTGACCCCGAGGGGGACCTGGGTATGCCCACCAGCCCCACCCCTGACCCCAAGAAGCTCAGCCTGAGTTGGAGGGAGGCTGCATAAGGTGATGGAGCCCCCAAAGGGGCCCAGGTGGTGGGGACCGTGCCCTGCAGCCATGGATGGCCCTAACTTCCAGCACCTCCCATTGCCTCTTTCCATAGAGGTGGTTGGGCCCAGGGCCTGCCTGGGAATCACAAGCGCCATCATGCAGCAGGGGCAGCAGGGAGTGACCTGGCAGGAGGCAGGCAGTGTGCAGCCCAGCCTCAGGCCTGGCGGTGCCCCTCCGCAGGGGCAGCAGGGAGTGACCTGGCAGGAGGCAGGCAGTGTGCAGCCCAGCCTCAGGCCCGGCGGTGCCCCTCCCCAGGTGTGCGAGGGCCTGTCTTTGGGGAGCCACCAGCTCTACCACGTGCAAGTGCGGTCTCGCTTGGAGAGGGCCAAGGCAGTGAAGTGGATGTGTCAGACCTTGGCTCCCGAAACTACAGTGCCCGCACGGACTTCTACTGCCTGGTATCGGAGGACGACGTGTAGCCCTGCCCCGTGGAGCAGTAGGGTTGCCAGGGGCGCCGGGGGGCAGGGCTGCGTGTTTTTAATCTCACACAGCAGGACCTGTCTACTTGTAGTCCTGGGACCTCAGGAAAAGAGAGTGGCCCCAGCCCCAGCTGTCCGCCTCGTGCCAGAAATAAAGAACTTTTGAATCCCACCCGAGTCTCGGCCTCTCCCCTGGGGCAGGAAGTGGGTGTGCAGTGTCATGGGTGGAAGGCCCCTCACTTCCATCCTAGGTCCTCCAGGGCCCTGGTTGTTGTTCAGTTGCTCAGTCGTGTCTAAATCTCTGACCCCATGGACTGCAGCATGCCAGCCTCCCCCGTCAGAGCTTGCTCAAATTCATGTCCATCATGGTAATGCCATCTAACCATTTCATCCTTTGTCACCCCTTCTCCAGCCCTCAATCTTTCCCAGCATCAGGGTCTTTTCTAATGAGTTGGCTGTTTGCATCATGTGGCCAGAGCGTTGGAGCTCCAGCATCCAGGGCCCTGGACCCTGCCCTTGTCTCACCTCATGGCCACCTGGCCGGCACACCTGGCCGCCCACTCAAACGCTGCCTCTCCCTCCCGAGCCATCTCAGGCACCTCTCTCAGTGCCCTCCTCAGGTCTCCCTGCTACAGGTCATGACTGTTTGCAGTCCCACTATGAGCCGGACGGCCCCTGGGGGGCAGGCCCCTTACAGACTGCAGGTGCTGAGCTTTGCGGAAAAGTCTGTTGTAAAATATCTGTGGGAGCGTCACGACCAAATGGCCTGACTTAGTGGGATGGGGAGGAGTCCCAGAGCTCCTGGACCCCAAGCCTCAGACAGTATGAGTGAAGCTGTCAGGGCACCCCAGGGTGGGGCAGGGTAGAGAGATGTTGGGGTGCAGATGCCACCTGAGCACAACCCAGCAGGGTGGCACTAAAGTCAGCAGCGGGCACACTGCCCCCAAAGAGGTCATTCCTCTGCACATGTGTCTCATTCAGCTCGGGGCCGCCTCTGCTGTCCACCTCAGCGCCTCCGCCCTCTGCCGGCTCTCCTGCTGTTGGGACGCTCCCTCCTCCCATCCTGTGTCCCCTGACCAGAGAGGTCTGTGCATGGGCCCTGGGGGAGTGTCCTCAGGGGCAAGCACAGCCATGCTTGGGGACACTGTTGCGTCCTTGGACCTGACCCCAGACCTGACCATCCAAGGAAGCACGAGGGGCTGTGTTCATGGCCACCTTTATTCCCACTGCTGGCTGTCCCAGGGCACCCCTGGGCCACAGTCAGCACTACCTCTGCCAGTGTGACCTGGCCACCACCCCACGCATCAGAGCAGCCTCAAGCCCTGCCCCCCACCCCATGCCCCGCAGAAGCCAATTCCCCAGCTGCAAACCCTCGTCCCCTCCCCCATGGCCCAGGCCTTCACGTTGCATGTGGACAGGGCTCCAGCGAGAGGCCCCTGGGCCATCCTCAACCTTCTCCTCCAGGCCGGCTGGTGAGCAGCCCTGAGCTGAGCCCTTCCCTAGGAGGCTGGGTCACATCGCATTCTCCTTCTCCAGGAAGGCTTCGCCTACGGCCCCAGGAAGTCCTCCTTCCGGTAGCCCTTCTGCAGTGGAGAGGGGACCCAGAGTCAGGGCTGTGCTGCCCCGCGTCCAGCGTGCTGGCAGCAGGCCCCCCATCATCCAGGCCTCCTGTGCCACGTGGCTTCCCTGTCCCTGCTGTCCTGCCTCCACGCCCCACACTTGCAGCCCTGCCTGCCCTAGGCCACAGGAACATACCGCTCGGAAGTCTCGGTGGAGCTTGTTGTACTGCCACAGGTTGGCCAAGAGGCTGGAGGCTGCCCGGGAGGACTTCTCACTGTCAGGGCTGGGAGGTGGGGGGCAGGGGTCAGCGGGGTGACAGGCACGGCCAGAAGGCAGGGCCAGCCAGGGGGCAGGGTGGGTGCGGGGTTTGGGCCCTGACCTGTCCCGCTTTTTCTTGATGAAGACTAGCTTGCGGAGTCCATCGAAGTAGAGCAGGTCCCGGGCAGCCACAGGACTGGCCACCACCAGGTTGTTGAGGACAGCTATGATGTTTATCAGCACGTCGGCTGGAGGAGACTTCTCACCCACACTGCCGGGCAGCTTCTCGATCAGGTGACTCACCAGCTTGGTGGCTGCCAGGAGGTCAGGGAGGTGGGTTCTCCACCGCCCCCCTCCCCCCACCACCACCTTGGCACCTGCCGTCCCCTGCTGCCCCCAGGGAGCTGGCATGCCTGCCTGTCCACTGACCCCAGCCTCCCAGAAGCTGGCCCCAGGGTGGCAATGAAGGCAGAGTCCAGGTGTGCGCCCAGTCCGCAGGGGAGGCGGAACCCAGGCTGCAGGACGGCCGGACTCACACATCTCATCCTTGTTCCTGGCGTTGCGGGACAGGTTTCGGATGAGGCCCGTCAGTGAGCGCAGCTGGTGGTGGTCAGCAGTCCGAACTCGATCCAGCAGTGGGTTCAGTATGCGCTCCTGCTCCAGAGCCAGCCGGCTCAGCACCCCCGCCCACTGCCAGCAGAAGGGGGGCGGTGAGCGAGGTGCTTGGCACCCTGTGCCGCCTGTGGGTCAGGCCCTGCCAGCCCAGACCTCCCGGCGCCTCCCTCAAGTCCGGCGCAGAACCGAGGTCCTCAGGAGCCGAGGCCTGAGCCATCTGGGGCGCTGACCTCACGCTCCTGCTGCCGCTCAGCGGCCCCCGCCTTCCCGTCCTGCCCGGACCAGCCCGCCGCCTCACCCTGCGGTCCCCCGCGGTGATGTTCTGCAGCGCCCCGGCTGCCGCCTCGGTCGTGTGCCGGTTGAGCTCGCAGCGCTGCAGCAGCCGGTTGTAGAGCCCCACGATCTGGGGGCTCCACAGCCACTCCAGGCCCTTGGGGTCCTTAGACACCTCAGCAAAGGTGAGCGCGTCGGCCGTGAGCGGCAGCTGGGCAGGAGGGCACGGAGGGTCAGCTGAGGTCGCCCAGGACCCCTGCTTCTGCCCAGCCACCCCAGCCTGGGCCCACCTCTCGGAGCCGCCGGCTCTGTGGCGTGAAGCAGCCCACCGCCTCGCCCGGGGCCCCCGTGTCCTGGCGGCCCCGGCCCTCCAGCCGCTGAAGGGCCGAGGGCGGCATCTCGTCGTACAGGCGGTAGGACAGGTTCCTCAGCACGCACACGGCGTTCTCCACGCTCTGTGGGCAGAGGGGACCGTGGTCAGGCCAGGCTGGTGCCCTTGGGGCCCCGGGGCCCGGGCTGACCCTCACCTTGTCCTCACACTTGCCCACGTCCAGGGCGTGGTTGATATAGGTGACCAGGGCGTCCACCAGCCCGTGGCACTCACGCATCTTCTGGCGAGTGGCCTGGGAGGCAGAGCTGAGGTTCCTGCGGATGGAGGCAGATGAGAGGCCTGCAGAGGGACCCCAGGAAGAGCCACCCCACGGGAATCCCCCAACAGAGCCCGTCCCACAGCGAGCTGAACCCAAGGCTGAGCCCCTGGGCACCGATTCCCTCCCGACCCGCCCTGGGCCCACCCCCAGCACCTCCTGCTCCTGGTCCCTGTGGGACACTGTCGCTCCCACGCTTTTGCACGCCTACCCTCATCCACTCCTTGAACTGTCCGGGGTGGGGGCAGGTGAGAAATGTCAGATCAAGTCCCTGATTTAAAGAAATCTGATCCTGCAGCCCCCAGTCTGTTGACATCTGGCTGGGGGGGAACACCTGGTGGCCCACTCCACTGTGGGTCAGCACCTCTGCCTTGCTGGGTCCGTCCGCTTCCCCCGGTGCCCCTGCCCCCCCAACCCAGAGGCTCCACCTTGACCCTGGGACCTCAGGTCCCCAAGGCCACCCAGCGCACCTGAGGAAGCCGGTGGCATTGTAGAATATCTCGGCTTCAGAGGCGTTCTGCTGGATGAGGGGCGGCCCGCCCGCCCCTGATAGGGGGCTCAGCACCAGATCTGTGAGTTGCTCCAGCGTGTCCCGGGCCAGGCGGTCCTTCAAGTGGTCACTGGAGGACAGGTTCCACAGGATCCCTATGGCGGGTGGGCCGCAGTTGTGGTCAGGGACCACCTCTGGGGACCTCAGAGGCCTCCGGCCCCTCCGTCTTTCTCAGGTGGTAGGGAGGAGGCTCCTGAGCTCTCCCTGCAGCGCACTGCCAGCCTCACCCACCAGCCCTCGTGGGGATAGCCTGGATGTGACCCAGAGGGTCACAGGGCTGCAGCAGGACAGAGAGGACGACCCTGGGGATGTGGGCCCTGGGGCGGAGGCTGGCTCCAAAGAGACATGCCCAGGTGGTGGGCCGAGGGAAGAGGGGAGGGAGGCGCGGGAGTGGGGTGGGAGAGGGGCGGGGTAGCAGGCAGGGTAGTGGCCTGGTCCACCTGTGACGTTCTTGCGGAGCTCGTCGTCCTGCTCCCGCAGCGCCCGCAGCAGCTCGAAGATGCCGTTCTCCTCCACCAGGGCCAGCTTGTTGTCTGCGTTGTCGTAGACGAGGTTGCGCATGGCGCCTGTGGCGTGGCGCTGCACTTCCTGGTTGGCGTGGTTGAAGAGCTTCACCAGCCTGGGGACAGCCTGCAGGCTGCGGGCCTGTGGACACAGGCATGCGGGTGTTAACAAGCGTGCACACGATGGATGGGTGTGTGCAGATGTGTGCAGATGTGCGCAAAGGTGTCCAGATGTAGGCAGGTGTATATATTAATAGATGTGTATGTACCTATGCAAATGTGTACAGAGGTGTGCAGATGTGCTCAAAGGTGTGCAGGTGTGCACAGAGGTGTGCAGGGGTAGGCAGGTGTGTACACTGATAAATTTGTGTGTACGTATTCAGGTGTGCACAAAGGTGTATGGGTGTGAGCACATGTATTCGGACATGTGTAAGTCCATCGCTCCCACCCTTCCTCTGCTGGAGATGCTCTGGGTAGGCCCAGGTCTGCCCAGTCTGTTTGGGGGTCAGCGAGGGTGGTCAGGGACCAGAGGACAGTGAATGAAGGGGGTCCATGGGTGTGGTCGGCAGGGACAATCACCTGCTTCTTGGCAGCTGCGTCGCTGTAGCACTTGTGCTGAATGTAGGCGGCTCCCAGCACCTGCAGGTTGGGATCTGAGGCCATGAGGTACTTGACTGCTGAGGGCAGGTCGATGTCATCAAATCTGCAGAGACAAGAGACGGGTTAGGCTGACCCGAGGATGGACTGGGGTGGTGGCAGAAGCTCCCCCCGCAACCTGTCCAAGCTCACCCGCTGCTGAGCCTTTGCAGAGTGCGGTGGCTGCCGTAGCTGTCCAGCCCACGCATATCTGGCAGGTGGCCCGAGTCGCCGAGGCTGAGGCTGCGCACAGAGGGAGCCCGGGCCACGGGCTCCAGGACGCCCCCGGGCCCGCCCCCAGTGACACCACGGCTGCGGTGGCTGCTCTGAAACCGTTGCAGGGTCCGCATGGCGGGGGCACGGATGGTCCGGCTGGGTGGTCCCTCGGTAGCCTCCGGCCAGTCCAGGCCCCCAGCCCGGCTAGAGCTAGAGCTGGCCCGGCGCTCGTAGGCAAAGGCCCTGTAGGAGGACGTGGCCGCCGGCTCCAGCTGCTCGGACACCACGCTGTACCTGTCATCTGGGCCCCCGGCCCCCAGCCTCAGCGAGCGCAGGGACAAGGTGTCGTAATCTGCCCGGCTGCCCGCCCCCCCATGCTCGTGGAAGGACACAGGCCGGGCGGGCACCGGTGTGGCGGGCAGGGCACCCCGGTACCCTGCAGCCCCAAAGGCACCACCCCCGTTGTGGACGGAGCTCAGCCTCCGACTGGAGCTCAGGTCCATGGCCGAGCGGGAAGACCAGGAGGCAGGGCTGTAGGTGGGCTTGGCGATGGGCCGGAAGGTCTGTGGGTGGGGGGGGGGAGGGGAGGGCAGTGAGGGGGCGCGGGGGTTCAGTGGGACCCTCTTCCGGACTGCGGAGCCCAGCCCCCCTTGGAACCTCCCTCTCAGGGCTCCAGGCTAGAAGGGCGTCACTCACCGAGGTTTCCCCGCTCAGGCCCTGGGAGCGAGAGCTGAAGCCGGCCTGCAAGGTGTGGCACTGAGCCCGGGACGCACCTGCAGATGGGACAGGGGCAGCACAGCCCACTGGGCCGACGGCAGGTGCCGGCCTCCTGCCTCCCCTCCGCCCTGAGGCTGGCAGGGCAGCTGGGCGCCTCGTCACCCCTCCAACAGCCCCCCGCCCCCTGCCAGGGGGGACAGACGCGCTCACCCTGCTGACCTCCTGGCGGCCTAGGGCCTGGGGCGGCCCCCTCGTCAGCTCCCTGGCACCTGCCAGGGCACGGTGCCCGGCCTCACGCCCAGGTAGCCTCACTGACCCCTGTGGGCCTGGCCTGCGCTGTTGGCCACACGACAGTGACACTGCAGTGCTTGGGGACACGCTGTGTCCCAGGGCCGGTCCCCTCACCCACCAGGCAGGGCCATCCCCACCCCCAGGCACACAGGCGCCAGGCAGACTGCATGGTGAGTGGACAGGGCGGGTGGGCGGAACGTGGTGGGTGGGTGAACAGACTGGCGCGTGAGCGGGTATCTAGGCCGGGAGAATGGAGGGATGCTGAAGGGACAGCTAAACAGACATGTGGATGAACAGGCGTGCAGGCAGAGCTGAGAACACCCTGAGAAGAGCAGGGCAAAGGTCACACCAGGCAGCCCCGTGGGGGCCTGGCTGGGGTGGCTTCACTTGCCGGGCAGGGTCTTTGGATGGGGAGGGGGTTCCTGAGTCCCACCTGCCCAAGGCCAGGGTAGAGAGACTGGGCAGGTGGGACTCAGGGCAGGGGTGAAGGGGAGGGGGCCCTCTCTCAGCCTCTGCCTCAGCTAGGTCTGGGGGGACTCCCCAAACTGGCAGACCCGCCCTGATTAATGAGGCTTCTGCGCAGGGGCTATTAACCCTTTGATGCCAGGGAGGCTCAGCCTGGGGGGACACACCCCCAGCCTGGGGACCTTACCCCCACCCCAAAATTATAATTCTCTTCCCCCTAATTGCCAGGGTAGCTGGGGTGGTAATTAACCCCTCCCTGCTCCCTCCTCTACCCCATGACCCTTGGGCATCCAGCTGGGCCACCAGCAAGGCTGACAGGCCCAGGGCGGGGAGGAACCTGGCGGCCCCAACGCTGGTTGACCCGCTTCTCCCGACCAGCGCTGGCGGCCAGTACCGGGAAGGGCCCTCTGAGCATCTGTGACCGGGGCTTGACCCTGACATCCCACAGGCTCTTCTTCCCGCCTGACTTTGGTGCCTGCTGCTGCGGCCTGGCGAGGAGGGAATGACATTTCCAGAAGTGCCCTGAGCTCGCTGCAACACTCATGCACATGCATGCCCGGTGGAGCCAGGTCTCTGCACGCAGGGGGCTGCCTGGCCCCAGGGGCGTTCCCTGCGGGCTGTTCTCAGCGGGAGTATCTAGGTCACTCTGGCAGGCCCGCCCCCTGCCGCGCAATCCCGCAGGGAGACCCTGGCCCTGACAAGCGGGCTCTCCTCCAGGAGCCCCAGACCCCGCCCCTCACCATCCTGTCTGCTTGTTCCCAGGGGGCCGAGGAGTGGATGCCAGAGTCTGGGCATCTGTGTCTCCGGGGAACTGACGTGTAGGTCCGCGTGTCTCTGAGACTGCGTGTGAGCCCGTGGGATGTGGGATGTGTGCGTGTCCTGGCTTTGCCAACCAAGATGGGCCCGGCCGACCGGCCAGCCATGTGCCCGTGGCTTCTCCCATGTCTGGCTGGGGCAGGGGGCTCAGGGCACAGGGGGCAGGTGGGGCCCACCCTGGCTCACGGTGAGGACCCTGGGGTCCCTGCTGGGAGGTAGAGGCCCCACCCATGGCGTCTCCCACGCCTGGCGGGGCGGGGCACGGCGGTGACTCAAGACGGCCCAGGTGAGTCAGGGAGCTGAACCCAGAGTCGCCCCACGGCGGCCTCCGGCCCTGGCACCACCACGCCCCTGGGGCCACCCCCACCTGCCGCCCTCTGGTGCCCACCCGGCCGGCGTCCACCTACCTCTGGCCACCTCGGCTGCCCCGTCGGGCTCGGCCAGCCCATTGTGCCGTGGCTGCTGGCCCAGCTGCAGCAGGCGCGCGCGGACCTGCTCCTGGACGCGGGCCGCCCTCAGCCGCTCCGCCTCCGGCCCCTCAGCGCCCCGGCGGTCCAGCTGCAGATCCGAGGGCAGCGCCAGGGAGCACACGCCCGCCTCAGGCTGTAGGGCGGAGAGCAGAAAGTTCCCGTCCTGCATGGCGGCGGGCACGGGGCGGTCGGCCTGGCCTGGGCCCCGTCGCCACCTCAAGCCCGAGCTGTCTCCGCCGTCTCTTCCCGCGCGGCCCTGTCCCTGAAGTCCCCTCCCTGCTGGCCTCGCCCAGGGCTGGCTCAGAGACCGACGCCGCCCAGCCCTGAGCTCAGCGAGGGGCGGGGACACCTGGGCCAGGTGGGAGGGCGGGGCCGCTCAAGGTGGAATTTGGGCGGAAGAACAGGCCCTGCGCATTCCCCTTCCTTCCGCCCATCCCTGACGGGGCAGAAGGGGTCTGGGCCTTTGTTCTCCGCCTGTAAAGGCCACAGCTGGTCCTTTGGGCCTACTGCCCCGAGCGCTGGGAAAGGGCCCAGGGCGGCCACCTCGGGGAGTCAGGGCCAGGGCCCTCCCCGCCCGGGGAACGGGATGCTCTGGGAAACTCCGAGCACCAGGCCGCCAACCTGAGGCTGGTGCGAGGCCTAGTGGGGGTCGGGCGCCAAGGGACTGAGTTGAGGATTGCAGGCGTGGGGCGGAGTTTCAGGGTGAAGAGGGCTCTGTGGGGTCCGGGTCCGGATGCTTGGTGCCCAAGAGACCCCTGAAGCAGGAGGCTAGATGGGCCCACCCCAGGCTCATGACCCTCCAGATATCCATCCCGTAGACCCCGGAAGTCACCCCCGGCCCCGTCCTCTGCAGAGGCCTCCCAAAGGGCTGGCTGGGCCCTCTCTGGTCCCCTCCCAGGCTCCTGCCCCCCAGGCTGTGGGGGTGGGAGGCCGTTCCCATTACGTGAGTCAGGGCTCAGCTCAGTGGGGTCAGGTGGGGCTGCCCCAGGGGGTCGACTCAGAGGGGCCCTCCTGCCCCGGCGGGGGATGCAGGTAGGAACTGGCAGTCCAGGCCAGCAGGGACCGGGAGGGTTGGAGCTGCACGGACAGGGGCAGCCCAGGAGTCAGAGCAGGAGCGAGATCCCAGCAGACTGGGGCTTGCCCCAAAGTCTCCCTGGAGCGCCCCCACCAGCCAGGCTCGCCTGCTCCACGGCCTCCTGGGGAGGCTTGGCTGGGATCCGGGACAGGCCCCTGGTGGGCTGAGTGGGGCAAGGGCCGAGCCCAGGAGGGCTGAGGGGCGGGGGCCCAGAGGCCTCATGTTCTTCCTGGGTTCCCCTCGCAGAGTCACCATGGGCCCACCCTCACCGGCCTTCCTTCCCATGAGAGACCCTTACCCTGGGCCCTGTGTCCCTGCAGGAAGGGGACATGGTCCCAGGTGGGAATGGTAGCTGGGAGCAGTGTCCTGGGGGTGAGGTAGGGTCGGGTCAGAAGGCAGCCCTAGGGGTGAGGTCAGTGCTGAGGAGGAGACTGGGGAGGGAGTCAGAGGTCAGTGTGGGGGGTGAGAGGGGTCAAGGAGGGTCCCTTGAAAGGTCCAGGTGACGCCTGGGGTGGAGCCGCTGGACAAGGGGGATGCACAGGGTGGGCGACCTACCCTGCCGGCGGTCCGGAGATTGCTGGCCCCGGGGCTCACCCCAGAGACGGCTGCTGCGGGCTGAGGAGTCCTGGGCTGCATCCCGGGCCCAGCACTGCTGCTGGGGCCTCGCTGTGGGCCAGGACTGCGGGGGCACCAGGAGGGCGGGGTGGGAACGTCTGCACGCCCAGCCAGCTCATCAGACCGGTTGCTTCCCTGGGAGTCGCGTTTTGTGTGGAAAAATCCCGGGAGACAAGTTCGTGCGGTGCTGAGTGCGCCTGGAGGAAGTTGCCTGGCACGGGCCTGGGGCCCGCCCTGCACTCATCCACCTGCAGCCCAGCCCACCTGGCCACACGCCTGGGGAAGCCGGCTTCTGGGGCAGATTGCAGGTGGGGGTCAGGCAGACACCCCCAGGGCCCAGTCTTCTAAGCCTGCAGGGTCCCCAGGGCCAGTTCCGTAGACTCGCCCCTCCTCTTGGCAGGGAGGGCTGCAGGTGGCCCCAGGCTGTGCTGAGCGCCCTCCCACCACCCACCTTGGATCTCTGCCCTTTGTGACTCCCTGTCTAGGGAAAGCCTGGGGACCCAAGGGAGCATCCTCTAACCGCTGCAGGTCCTGAGGGGCCGGCTGTGCCTTGAACCTGTCCCCACCTCAAGCTCAGAGCCCAGTCCCACCCCTGGAACCAGCCTTCTGCTCCTGAGAGTCCCCTCTCCCTGGAGCGAGTGCATGGGGGAGACAGCATGAGGACATCGGTGCCGGCTTCCTGATGGGGGGCTTCCTGGAGGAGGGCATCCCTAGCGGGCGGGATGGCGGGGGAAGATTAGAAAACCTGGGAATAATGTGTTGGTGCTCTATCAAGTCTGAGATCCCAGGACCTGAAGGCCTGGAAGGGTGAGGGGTGCTCTTACTTGGGAGGTGGGTGGTGGGGGAGCCTGGACTCTGCCCTGGGGGGTGTGAAGGAAGGGCTGTGAGGGCCCAAGGGGCAGGCAAGCATTTACAGGTAAGGACTGCCTGGGCTGAGAGGTCGGGTTGGGGCATTTACTGGTGGAGGGGACCCCAGGCAGTTGTTACAAAAGTCTCTGGGGGAGGGGTTGGGGATGAGCCGGGGGCGGGGGCCAGAGTAGAGGCGGGGTGGAAGGAGGACCCTTTGCTGGCTTTGGTGACCTGAGCTGCGCTCACTGCGAAGGGGGAAGGGGCTGCCGGGTGTGTGCAGGCAGCGCTGGAGTAGGTACAGAGGGCCCGGCACCCCACTCGGTCGAGAGCCTGGAGGAGGGCGGAAATGGGGAGAAATGGTGCCGACGCAGGCAGCAAAATCATATTAACAAGACCCAGGAGCGCGCTGGAGCGCAGAGAAGTTTAGATCGCGCGGGCGGTACAGCCTGCCGGCGCGGGGATGGGACCTGGCGAGGCGCTCACCGGCGCGGGCGCAGCGCAAGGCGAGGGCGGTGGGCGGGCGCGGGGAAACGCCCGTCTTGGTGCTCGCGCTCCGGCCAGCGCGTCCTGGCGCTTCCTGTCGGGGATCTCGCGCCCAGGCTCGAGAACCTTCCAGCGGCCGACGGCTGGGTTCCCGCCAAGTCCAGCTTCGGGCCCGCCTCCTCCACGACGCCTACCTGGACTCATACCGGGCGCAGCGCTTGTCCCGCTGGGGCGGGCACGCTCCGCGCCCCCTGGCGGGAAGGTCGCCGCGGGCTGCGGGACCCGCCCCCCCCGCCACCCCCCGCCTCTTCTCGGCCTCCGGTCCGCCGGTTCTGAGCCCTTGGCAGGTGTGTGACAGGGCGGGCCACACGCAGTGACGCGGGGCTGGACGGCTGGGCAGCCGAGCTCCTCTGGGCCAGAGAGGGGAGCCTTGCAGGGCCCCGAAGAGGACCCAGAAGGGAACCGGGGGCCGGAGCTCATGGGTGGGGGACGAGTGCGGGGCATCCTTTGGGTGCTCCAGCGGGGGAGGAGGGGAGGCGGTGGCTGGTGCCCGGGTAGCCTGGACCCGGAGGAGGCCCCCGGTGGCAGGGAGGGTGGAGGAAGTCTGTGAACCCCGGTGCTTCTTCTGGCAGAAGGCCCGCGCCGGGTCCCACGGAGACGCCGGGCACCGCCCACAGGTGCCGGTTTCCCGAAAGTGGTCGGAGCTTTGCTCACAGTCTGCTCTCTGTCCTCACAGGAGCCCCAGCGGGCCGAGCTGTGACCACTCCATTTTACAGCCCCGGAAGCAGGCTCCACAGGCTAAATAGGTTTCCAAGAGTTACACAGCTAGTCAGGGTGTGTGGAAAGGTCGCTGAGCAACAGCAGGCTGGGCTGGCCAGCGGGTGGGGTCTCAGTAGAACCCCCATAGTCCCCTCGCTAGGGCTGGGCCTCCTTCTCCATGGGGATTGAGCCAGGGTCTGTTTGCCTTCTCTTGGTGTTCAGCTTCAGCCTTGTCCTGAAAGGGGTTCCTACCCCCCGGGCCACCCTGGCAGCCCTTCGCTCTCACCTTCTGGATGGGGGCTGGGGCGCCCAGGCCTGCTGTTGCCTTTCTGCTTGAACATCAGGGCTGGGTTACTCGTCAGCCTCCAACTCCCTTTCCTGGAGGACCTGCACGCTGGGGGTCAGTCAGAGCTGGCCCAGCCCAGGGGAGGAGGCTGCGCTCCTGTCTGCTGCCCACAGGGGTCTGCACCTCCAAGGCCTATGACTTCCTGTGCACAGTGTGGCCAATTTTTTGTTTTAAACTTTCTCAGTGGGCTGTGTTTCTTTCCTTCAGGAATGTTTTCTTCCGCTGTGTCACTGAGGTGTCTTTTCTCTTTCATTTCCTGTCTTTTCCGTTGTCTCCTTGTGGTCTCTTCCAGCTGTCCTTTCCCGTTTCCTTTTCTGTTCATCCCTCAAACGTGTCTTCTGTTCCTGACTGGGTTTTAACAGTAGCTGTTCCTATTCTTTGAAACTCCTAAAGTGGCTTTTGTCACTGTAACGATTTTATTTTTCTGATTTATTTTTTTCCCCATGTGTTGTCAGATAGTTTTAATTTTCTTTGTTTTTGTCATTCATTTTTTTAAAGGAGACTTTCTTTTTTGGAGCAAGTTTTATGTTCACAGCAAAACTGACAGGAAGGTACAGAGAATTCCCATATACCCGTGCCCCTGCCAGGCATAGCTTCCCCCAGTTATTGCATCAGCTGGCACATTTGTTGCAATAGATGAACCTGCACTGAGAAGTCATCATCACCTAGAACCCCTAGCTTACATCAGGGTTCATCTTGATGTTTTACACACTAGGCGTTTGGACAAGTTCATGGTGCTGTGCGCCCGTCATTCCAGTCCCATGCAGAGTATGGCCACCCTGAGCATCCTCTATACCACCTGTTCATCTCTCCCTGCCCCTCCCCCAGCCTCTGGCAACCACTGATCTTTATATTTTCTTTGTAGTTTTACCTTTTCCAGAATGTCACAGGTTGGAATATCACAGTATGTGGCCTTTTCTCATTTGCTTCTCTCACTTAGTTATACGCATTTAAGTTTCCTTCTTGTCTCATTGTGGCCTGACAGCTCATTTCTTTTTAGATGACTAATATTCCATTGTCCAATGTACCACAGTTTCTTCATCCATTCACCTATTAAAGGACATCTTGGTTGTTTCCAGGTTTGGGCAATTATGAATAAAGCTGCTGTAAACATCATTTGCAGGCTTTTGTGTGGACATGTTTTCAGCTCCTTTGGGTAAATACCAAGGGGCGTGATGGCTGATCGCATGGTTGAGAGTGTGCAGTTTTGTAAGAAGCCGCCCAGCTGTCTCCACAGCGGCTGCACTGTTTGCACCCCACCCATGCTGGACGTGAGCTCCTGCCACACTTGGTGTCCTTGCTGCACTTGGGTCTGGATTTTGGCCATTCCAGTAGGTGCATAGTGATATCTCATTGTTTTATAATGTGCATTTCTCTAATGACATAGGATGTGGAGTTTCTTTTCCTGTGCTCTTTGTAGATCTTCTCTGCTGAGGGGTCTGTTAAGGTTGTCTGCTCATGTTTCAGTTGGGTCTCTCATTTTCTTGTTGGGTTTTAAGAGTTCTTTCTCTATTTTTCAATAACAATCCTTTGTCAGATACGTTTTTTCAAATATCTTTTTCCTAGTCTGTGATTTATCTTCTCATTCTTTTGACATCTTTTGCAGAATGGAAGTTTTTCATTCTAATGAAGTTCTGTGTGTCAATTGAAACTGAAAAGTGAAAGTCACTCAGTCATGTCTGACTCTTGGCAAGCCCATGGACTGTAGCCTACCAGGCTCCTCTGTCCATGAATTCTCCAGGCCAGGATGCTGGAGTAGGTAGCCGTTCCCCTCTCCTGGGGAATCTTCCCAACCCAGGGATCAAACCCAGGTCTCCTGCACTGCAGGCAGATTCTTCACCATCTGCGCCATCAGGGAGGCCCTTCTTTGCTTTGTTCTTGGCTGGCCTGGGTCTTCACTGCACAGGCTTTTCTCTAGCTGCCGGGTGCAGGCTTCTCACTGGGCGCCTTCTCTGGCTGCGGGGCACGGCCTCTGGGGTGTGCCAGCTTCAGTAGTTGTGCCTCCTAGGCTCCAGGGCACAGGCTGAATAATTGTGGCACACGGGCTTAGTTGCTACGTGGCATGTGGGATCTTCCCAGATCAGGGATCAAACTCCAGGTGGACTCTTTGCCACTGAGCCACCAGGGAAGTCCTCAGTTATTTCTTTTATGGGTCAGCCTTTCGTGTTGTATCTACAACACCATCACCACACCCAAGGTCATCTAGGTTTTCTCCTGCACTATCTTCTAGAAATTTCATAGTTTTGTGTTTTACATTTAGGCCTGTGAGTCATCTGGTGTTAATTTTCGTTGTCCAGTTGTCCCAGCACCATTTGTTGAAAAGACCGCCTTTGCTCCATTGTATTGCCTTTGCTTCTTTGTCAAAGATCAGTTGACTGCATTTGCATGCGTGCTAAGTTGCTTCTGTCTTGTCCAATTCTTTGGGACAAGAATACTGGAGTGGGTAACCATGCCCTCCTCTGGGGGAATCTTCCTACCCAGGGATCAGACCTGCATCTCTTATGTTTCCTGCATTGGCACGCAGGTTCTTTACCACTAGTGCCACCTGGGAAGCCCTGACTGCTTTCATGTGGGTCTGTTTCCG